ATAGAAGGCTTGACGAGGTAGGTGGGTGCAGGCGCAAGTGGTGGAGAGCGAGAGGCAGAGCGAGCGAGAGAGGGTGGTGAAGCAGAAAAAAAGTTGTTGGGAGAGAGTGTGAGAGAAGAGAGGCGGAAGCGGAATAGGGTGACGATGAGCGGCGCGCGTGAGTAGTGAGAGAAGAGACGGGAGGATGGATGCAGAACTCCAGGAGAAGTTGAGAAGGAGTGGCCTAGCTCGTTGGTAATACAGTAATCCAAGGACTTTTATTAGAGGACGAGAGAATGGGACGCTGGATTCAGTTAGGCAATTTAGCTTTCCCAGGTTCCGGGGGGTGGTGGATGGGCAAGCCGCAAATTGGACAACGTGGTTGCGCAGCTGCTGGAGCTCGACATGGACAAGGACAAGGAGACTCGACGGGTCACGGAGCGAAGAAGCTGGGTCCGTCATTAGGTATTAGACAGGAAACATGGGGAAAGACGATCACCAAAGGGGTAAGCCTGTAAGGTGGTCTCTAAGGGCAGGCAAGGTAGCGTGCCTATGGGATACTTTCTTCGTGATGGATGGTAACTACTTGGCGAGAAAACTGTATCATGACAGACGGAGACTTGGGGTGTGGTTGATTCAGACGTGCTCCGTTAGAATGCCTGGGCACCCGCTCTAGGGTTCACGGTCTCCCTCATGCTTGGGAAGAATGGACAGAGAAAATACCGTATCGCAATTGAGACTTGATTTGGATGCCATGCGGGAGAACGGGGGTCCCAGTCCGGGGGTGGAATGTTTCCAGATCCCGTGGCGTTTGGTTGTTCAGCCACAAGAAAATCTTTTGGAAGCTCCACGGGTCGATTCGATGGAACTAATGGAAGCCCACGCCCATGTCTACCGTAGGTAGGCACCTGGTGGCTCATTGGGCCAAATGCGCGATGCAGGTCTTGTTGGGACTTGGGACGAAACGCAGCGCCGGGAGAAGCACAATGATGTCCTCGAAACGTATGTACTTGGTAGGCTGCTAGTCTCACATGGTCAGGTAAGGGCTAGGTATGCTGCTGGAGTGCGTGATGGTTAGGTTTCTGACGATGATGCCTGGCAGTCATTACGCTTACTTGTCATCAATAATGTTACCTGGGGTCCAACACAACACAGTCAGGGAACATGCCGTCGAATGGCCTATACTTGGTACCTTGCTTTCTCGCAGCACCTCGCCGTGCCAACATGACGGCGGTGCTCCTCCATTGGCTCGCTCTCTCGTCCCCTGATGACTGAACATGTTCCCGGCCTGGTGGGCAGTTTCCCGGCAAGCACCCGATTGCCTTGACAGGGGTTGCTGCAGGTGAAATCCGTGGAACGCTGGAAGGAGGGCGGCCATCAATGGCGACCTGCTTCTCACCTTGCACTAGCTCTGTCACCTGTGGTACCTGTGGTACTTGTGGTACTTGTGGTACTTCGTCGATGGCACCTCAAGCTCCCTTCCATGGGCACTTCTTACCACCACGATACATTCTGTCTCCTGCACAGCCCTGATGGTGGGGGACACGACTTGAACACACCAAGTTGGGAACAGCAGCCTTTGACAGCGCCACATCCAACGCCCGGCTGCTCGAGACTGTCGTTTCGCATGCGAAGCTGACAGCTCGGAGCTCTTGAGCTGCTACCTCACTGGTTCTAAACCGCAGCTGAATCGAACTTCCTTTCAAGGCTTCGATTCGATGCTGACCGGCTGCATGGTACCTCTATTGCCCATAAATGTATGGAGTACGGAGTATCAACTATGTCTTCCATCAAAAGCGATGCCGAAGCAACAAGCCTTGCGGTTCAACACCAGCAGTCGCCAACAGCACCACACGCAAATCAGGCTTGCAGACGACAGCTATGGGCGTCTCCAAGCCACCGCCGAGAAGCTTTGAGTTGCGGCGTGGCTGGGACATTACGACGGCAGAATAGCCCAGAAGTGCCAGACCATTCGACGACGACCCCTAAATCGCCAATCATGTCGCCATCATGGCGATCGAGCGTCGTTTCGTCTGATGCCTCTACTCGTTCGTGGTAGGGGCTGTGGTAGCACCGATCTGCTCAAAGGGCGTCCGCATAGGCAGTTCACCCCGGCCAAGAGCCTCCGACCAACATGGGCAGTCCGATGCGACCAACACCACCGATCACGGACTCGACATGCGTTGACCCAGCCACGACCAGCCAATAACAAAGAGATTGCATCGTGGATGACACAGAGAAAGAACCAAGACTCGAGGCGGTGAGGTATCACAGCAGTTCCAGTATCGGGGGAAAGGGAGAACAGGCGCCAAGGGCTACGACAACCCGTCAACCAAAGCCCTCCTGTCTCTCCAATTTGTGACACCTTCACCGTTTGGCAGCTCCGTGTCTTGGATTGAGAAACGGGCTGCATCGCCGCATCATAACGAAAAGGCTCAGGCAACTGTCTCAATGCCAGCTCTCGTGAGGCTCGTTGGGAAACGCAGCGGCGGCCGTGCCTGGAGCACCGTTTTCCGCCAGACATGGACGCTTACCGGCAGCCAGTGGATGCCGCGAACACGAAGGTTGGCTTATCGATACCTTGCCGTTAGATCCCTCGCCGGGCGTGCCGGGGAGCTCTCAGCTTGACCACCGAGGCGCAGGCTGCGCAGTGCATTTGCGGGTCTGTCTCCTCGCCTGAGGAGACTTGTCGATCGCCCAGCACGATAGGTCGAGACAAGCAAACGCTTGGCAGGAACAGAGACCGATGATGTTCTCGTCTTGCTAATGGTCCAGGCGCGCAATCTCAACAATCACGGCTGCATGTTGCGTTTCCGATAGCATCTACTAAGGAAACACACCGCTTCAAACGATTTGGCATGGAGCATCGTCAAGCATATCACCCTCAGGCCCATAGACAGCCTATATTCTGCGATCGTTAGATCTCAGAGATGGCACAGAAACGAGAACTTCAATGCACTTAGATCTAGGTGGACGTTCCGAATTAGCCACGAGATGCCGGCTTAGCCAGTGCCACATCAACGTGCCAGGAGAGCCGACTTTTTCGTATTACAATTTAGCTCAAGTAACGGCTTGCAACCTTGCGTAGAGCTATCAAAGACTTGGGACACAACGGGCAAAAGTATAATCCACGGGGAAATACTGCAACGGCGGGGTAAACGTCCAGCAGAGCCAAAGCATTGAGGGGAAGTTCAAGCTTGCTTGGCCTCTTCAGACGGAAGAACAATGCATATCAGCTTTAGGCTGTCACACAATTGAGCCTATCACTGAGCTACCGGCTCCTACACTAACCTAGGACCGTCGTGTCTGTGCCGCTCCTCGCCGGGCGTCAGCGTCACTCGTCCCGCATCGGTATCATCCTGCAGCCTCACTGCCCCGCCAAGTGGACTTCATACTCCATTATCTCCTCGGATGCTCCGATGTTGACTTGAGCGAATCGAAAACACAAAGACTCTGGCAAGGCCTGAGATTCTTCCCGAGACATCATCTCGAGCAGAGAGGGGCTATCCCTTGTATCTTTATACCCAAAGCTCCAAAGTACCTTTGTACTATCCCCCGGCCCGCACCGAACCCCGCGCGAAGAGCTTCCCGCTGACCCCGCGAACCCCGGAATTGCCGTCTTCAACTTGATATCTCTGTCTGCAGAAGAAAGCGAACTCGCCCTCGCCGACAAAATTGAACAAGCTCGCAGCGATGGCCGTCACGGAGCTCGCTCTTCTCCAATTCAAGGAGCCCCTCACCGAGGAGGTCAAGGAGCTCATGGACTACTGCCAGACCGTCCAGGACACCTGGGTTCTGCGCCAGAAGCCCGGCCTGCCGCCGACCCGGATAGAGCGCGGCACCGCCATCCTCCAGCAGGTCGAGGACCCGACCGTAATACTCCTGGCGGCGCAGTGGGATTCGCCGCAGGCGCATGGGGAGTGGATCGCGTCACCCGAAAACCAGAACGTCATGGCCAAGCTGATGCCACATATTCACATCGAGGGTCCGCGAAGCGTGCTATTCTTTCACATTGACGCGCCCATCTTTGCGACGCCTGCATCAGCACCGTCAGAGACGAAGGAGGGGGCTGCAGAAGCGGAGATGGACTCCAAGGGCAAGCAGCCGGAAGCGCCGGTACCCGAGGAAGAGAGCAAGGCAGAGGGCAAAAAGAAGGCGCAAGACGAGCCGCCATCCCTCCTGACGGCGCCGGTGCTCAGCGTCGGGCGGTTCGGGGTGAAGTCGGAGAAGAGGGAGGAGTTTGTCAAAAAGTACGCCGAGGCCAAGTGGGTTGTCGAGGAGTCGTCGAAGCCGTTTCCCGTCCGCGGCGGCTGGCGAATTGAGAAAGCCGCCGAGGACCTCGAGGAGTATGTCATGTACTGCGGCTGGGAGACGGTGGAACAGCACAAGGCGATCGCGGAGCACGAGGGGTTCAAGGAATGGGCTGGCATTCAGGAGTTTGTGACGGGGACAGACATTTGGCACTACAAGCGGCTCATGTGAGGGGGCTGTGACGGTACGAACGTCGATAGACCAGAGACACGGAGCCTTTGGCGTTTAGATGGTAGACGGCCTCCAAGAGTGTTGCTAGCACTGTCCGGTTTGCAAGAGGACCGTTAGAGAAGAGGGGCACGGGCGGTGGCAGTCTTTTGTGTTCAATGGTTTCTTCGTTGGCGGGAAATGTCTGACTAGCAACAAACGTTGGCACAGTCTCCATCTCATCTCGCAAACTGCCTAGGTGATATTCCTCGACGCCATGTTATGTGGTGACGCAGGTTGCCTTCCCCGTTCCCGTACCATTCAAGGTACAGAACCGAGAGAAAACAAAACACTACGCTTTTCAAAACCTCATTTTCCCCCAAATAGGCCGACCGGCCAATAGCCCCACGAAAAAACACAGAACCCAGGTGGGGGAACGAGTCAAAAATTCATTCCATTGACCTCATGACTGGCTATCCGTACTCATGCTTTTATATCCCCATCGAAGCTCAAAGTTTTCCTTTTGACGATTTTTGTTTCGAGACGTTTTTTACGGGAATCCCTTATGCGGAGGACTTGCCCTTGGGGTTCTTCTTGGGGACGTCCTTGATCTGGAGCTCTGCAGGGAAATGGTGGTTAGCGGCAGTTTAATCGATTCGTGATTAGCCCCCGTCTGCATTTTCTCCTTTCCGTATTCCTCAACTGCGTACGAGGCTTTTTTTTTTCCGAAAGGAAAATTCGAGGGGTAGAACTGCGCCGAGGGATGATCTAGAAAGAGGGTTCAAAACGTACGAGGGGGGAGGGACTGCTTGAGCTTCTCGGCCTTGTCGGAGTCCTTGAGGACGAGGGTGTAGAGGTGGCGCTGGCAGCGGACCTTGAACTTGATCTGGGAGTTCTTGGTGCTCTTCTTGATGCGAGCGGCTATGAATGAAGTACACGTTAGAAAATGCTGTTCCTTTTCTGGATCTTTCTCTTGTCCGAGATTCGAAGTTTCTCTTCTAGTCGAAATAGTCGTTCGAGGCTTCGTCGGGTGTGTGGTAGTGGGAGGAAGGGAATCAGGTCATGGCATACAGGAAGCGTCCTTTCTCCGGGCAATCTCAATGAACTACAGAAGCAGCAATTGTTAGTCAATTTTCTCCCGGTAATATATACAAGAACAATAATTCAACAGCGCTGCAACGTACCTGCTTGATATCACCGATTTCGCGAGGCATCTTGGCGGTATTTTTCGGGGGGGATTGGCGACAACGAAGGGGGTCTTGTCTGGTCGGATTGAGTGGTTGCTGTCGTGAGACTTTCGTGGGCTTTTTTGGATGGAAAATTGATTTTGTGGGATGGACCCCTGTGGCAGCGAAATGCACGGACCAGCTCGAGTACTCGGCCGGGGAGAGAGGGACTCGATGCATCTTGCGAGGTTCGACCTTATCTTATCGGGGCGGGCTGGAATAGGTCGCCTGTCCGGGGGGTCTGTCACCGACCACACCGAGGAGCGGAGTCGGGTCCCGTCGGGTCCCACGGATTTCCAGGTTCCTCCACAGCCACAGGCAGCAGCACCACACCATTTCAGATGGGACGTCACTGTGGCACGCGTCACACGCCCCGAAAGCTCTCGGGGTAGACGTGGCGCTGGACCAGACCCTCGGCCTGTACCTTTCCTTGCGCATGGGTTGACGACGCTTCAACTCAAACCAGTCTATAAACGAACACGTCGCATAACACGTTACCAAAGGTGTCCTCTAAGCTTTTCGCATACCTTGTAATCGGTGCTCTTTCTGCTCCTATTCGCCGCGTTGAAAACCTGAGGTTCCGGCCATTAGTTGCACAAGACATACTGTCACTGCACCGCCACATCTACATACGATGCCTACACCACTCGACAATGCCATGAGATCCAGGGTCCGTACCTTATCACAATGATTGCATTTAGTTGCTCTGCTAATACTTTCTTAGAATGCCGTACTCGGTAAAGCAACATATAATCGCGCACAAAGACCTAAGTGCTGACCATTCACTAGCATTCGGCGGCTTGGTCACAGCCGTAGCCGTATGGGCCATCTACGGCGGCGACATGTTCCCCGCGGGGCCGGATCCCACAGGCAACCCCGAGGACTGGACCAGAGAGGAGATGAGGAGGTGGCTTGCGGCGGTATTTGCAGCTCTCTTCTCCGTCTCCGTCATTGTGTACTTACATGTAACATAGCGAAACCTGTTTCCGCAGGACAACGACACGAGAGAGGAGCTATTGGCACGCGTGCTGGCCAACGTGAGAGCTCCGAGGCGATGAGCTGGTGGGACGGAAACTTGTAGTCTGCTTTCACTGCGTAAAACGATTTATTCCATCCGCTTTCTCGACCCGACGAGTCACCTGCCCGTTCGTTGGGTGACCTAGTAGTAATACAAATATGTCTGCGGAGTGTGAACCCCGAAAATGCTCTTGAAAGACGCAAGCACTCTATTCAGCTAACTTCCCCTTTACAACTCGTCTCTTCCAGAGGTCTTGCCCACGGTGGGTTCCTCCGATGTGACCTTGCCCGTAGACTTCCAGTTGAGCGCATTGAGGCGCTCCGACAGGTGCGGGTGGGAGAAGTGGTAGGTCGCGTACATCCAGTCGGCGTCCATGGAGCTTAGGTTCTGGATTTGGAGCTTGAGGAGTGATCTAGCCAGCTCAGCAGAGTATCCGAGCTTCTGGGCAAACGCGTCGGCCTGGAACTCGTACTTGCGGCTCAGGATGTTCATGAGCAGCTTGACGACGGTGTCCATGGGGGAGAGCGCATCGGAGAAGAGGATGAAGCCGATGATGATGGGGTGCTCCGTGAGGAAGCCAAAGTCGGCGTACAGGGAGTTGTTGCTGATGAAGACGGAGAAGAGGGCGAAGATGTAGAGGAAGTGGGCCTATCGCTGTTAGTGAATGCTGTTGCGCCGGTGGACTGCAGAGACATACCTGAGAGATGCCAAAGAGGCGCGTGGTGTGGCCGAGACTCCAGTGACCAAGCTCGTGAGCCAGAACGGCAACAACCTCCTGCGTCTCGCTCTTCTCAATGAGGGTGTCGTAGATGACAATGTGCTTCTTCCAGGGAAGACCGAAAAAGTAGGCGTTGCTGTGGGCGCTGCGCTTGCTTCCGTCAATCACATAGAGTTCGTGGAGGGGGAAGTTCAGGCTCTTGGCAAGGCTCTCAACGCCGTTCTTCAGTTCACCCTCTTCCAAAGGCGACAGCTTGTTGAATAGAGGCAGGATGGCGACCGGGTAGATTGTGATCATGAAGACTTGGAGACCAGCGGCGAAGGCCCAGAGGTAGAAGAAAAACTGGTTGCCCGTCTTCTTGACAATGGAGAGGAAGCCGGCAAGGATCGGGGGAGCGAGGACAAAGGCGAGGAGCTGAGACTTGATCATGTCGGTGATGAAGAGCTTGGGCGTCTGCTTGTTGAAGCCAAACTTCTCCTCCAGCACAAAGGTCTGGTAGATGGAGCTAGGCAGCGAGAGGACCTGCTGGATCATGATGAAGGCGAGGACGAAGACGATGGACTGAGATATCTCGCCGGTGAAGCGCGCCGGCGCGAACTTCAGCAACAGGTGACCGGACCATGACCAGAGCTTGGGGAGGACGTCGAACTGGATAAAGGCAATGTTCTGGATCTGACCCCAGAGACCGCTGATGAAACCGAATTCCGCTTTGGCGCGACCGTAAGCCTGAGACTTGTCGAAAACTTCCTGGGAGACTTCCTGTTCGAGAACCTTGGGGGGCTTGGTGTTTTTGAGGACCTGGTACTGGCGGAGCGAGAGGAAGCTCTCAAAGACGAACTGGCCGACCGAGAAGCCGAGGATGAGGCGCTTCCACGGGAAGAGGGGTCGGTCCAAGAACCGCGCGAGGCGTTGAAGAAAATCCATGTTGGCCTCTCTTTGCTTTTCTTCGGATTCCGGAGGGGTTGCAAAGGAGGGACAAGAATGGAATATATGGGATTGGAGATGAAAAGAAGCAGGCTCCGGACCTTGTCGCAAGCTGGGTCTGACAGCTCGTGCTTGGGTACGGAGTATTGTTAGCTCAGGCAAGCTGTCCACAGTGAGCCGGCGAATGGGACCAAGTGGGGGCGGGCTGGTGCGGTTCGGGGCCTGCGGCTGCCGGCAGGGTCGATCATTGGCTGCGAGGACTCCAGCTTACCCCAACTTTAATTGGCTGAAACACCCGCCTCATGCAATGTCTTGCGTGCAGACGAAAGCCCCGTCCGAACGGTGGAACCCCGTTTAATGCATGAGCGACGGGAACTGCCGTTGGATTGCAGGAAAGTCTTCCCGCAAAATCTCGAAGCCGTCGATAGTGTCACTTTGAGCTCCACGCCGCTCGACGACAACCATACAATTGCCGCCAAGATGATGCGCCAATCCATCACAGGCCTGGCGAGGGCTTTTCTCGCCCGCCCGGCTACCCAGCCGGTGCGCGTCGTCATTCAATCGACATCACAAAGGTGTGCCTCAACCCCTTAGCAGTAGAGGTGAAGATAGTAGCTAACCGGCACCATAGGACGTTCTCCTCCCTCCCCTCGCTGCGTCCGTCCATCACACCTCTCACATCCGCCTTCCGCCGGCCGAATGCCACGCCGTTCACTCCCTCGACCGTCGATGGCGCCATTGCCGACTTGGTCCCCACGAGCGCCATCACCGAGCACCCTGCTCTGGGCGCCATGCAGCTCCGCTGCGGTCCTCGCAACACCATGAACCGCAACACCCGCCTGATCCAGAAGCGCAGACACGGCTTCGTTTCCCGCATGAAGACCAAGGACGGACGCAAGATCATTGCACGGAGGCGCCAGAAGGGCCGCACGAAGCTCGGCGTTTGAATGTAACGTGGGAGGATAGAGCTACGGAGAACCGTGGAAAGGACCGGACGACATTGCTGCAGATGAGGAGAGAAGGGCACGATTGTCCCAGACAGAGTTCTCAGGGATGGTGTGGCCAAGGTTGGGCATGGCCTAAGCCGGATTGAAGCAAGACTCCAACATTAGAGCCTCCGCGAGAGGTAGTGTTCAATATGTATCAATATGAAGCCAATGTATAACAACTCAACCAGTGGGTTTCAGGGAATTCGTTGAATTCTGCGGAAACAGCTAGCAGGGCTCGTGAGGCTGCTCGCTAGCCGTTAACATTTTCGGCATTGCGCAGGCCGCTGCACCCAATGGTCATTTTACGCATCTGTCTGCAAGGTTCGGGTCGAGACAGTGCTTCTCTGTGCCGAGAGTGAAGAGGTCATGTTCCTGGCCATGAGGCGCCCTTAGTCGCAGTCTCTTGGCCACGGCGGACGAGTATCAAGCACTGAGAAGCCATCAACGTAGCAAGACATTCTGTTCGGTCATCCTCGAATAGGCCCTGGCAAGTTCCATGACATATATCATTCTCTTGAAATTGCTAGCATCTGTTCAAAGCCGCATGTCGTGCCCGCATCCTTTCCAACTGTACCCCTGCAGGGCTTAAAGGGAAGAAGCGGCCAGCAGCATTGATCATCGGCAGCCCCTATCGTAATCCCGAAGCAAGCCGGACTTTTTCCCGCACAGCTGGCAATGCTATGATGCTTCTCAGACCTGCTTATCAGATATGGAAGACCTTTTGATCTTCCTGGACCTCAGCTGTACTCCGGACAGCATAGACAGTACAAAAAGAAAAGAAACGGTATCTCGATCTGTCCGGGTGTCACATGATTCGACGCGTCCAGGGATGGAGGGTTCCACGGCCCAGATCAACATTCGTCATAATTGGGCAAGCTCAAACGCGTTCTGCGCGCGTCGTCAGATGGAAACGCAAAGAACTCATAGCTCTGCAACTTTTTAACTTTCGATGGTGCCATCCATCAGTGGCTCTACCTCACATGGAAGTCCTACGGTTCTCAAAAAGAAAACGGCTCCCCGTTCATAGTGCCATAGTTGAAGCTCTCTTGTTTCTTGTTTCCCACCTAGTGAAATAGCTATTCCCTGTGAGACTCACTTACACATTCATCCGTGCCCCAAGACAACCCCATAATGCCTCCTAAAAGACGCTCAACCGGAGCGGCGTCCGGTGCCAGTAAGAAGCCCAAGACTACGGCTCCCGAGGCCGAGGCCTCTTCACCTGCACCCGCAGCTGCCCCTGCTGATGACGACCGCGGTAAAAATCGCTGGCCAGCCAAGAATACCCGCTGGTCGGCGGTCTCGGCGTCGCGTAACGTCGATGAGGACTACAAAAAGGCTTGCGAGGAGGTTGCCTATGCCTTTGAGTACGTAGTCCGGTGTCCCTTTGGCACCGGGCATGGTGATGACGAGGAGGACGACGAGGATGACGAGGACGAAGAGGAGGACGACGAAGAAGAGGAGAAGGAAGAGCCTCAAGCCAAGGGCAAGGCTAAGGCCAAGTCCAAAGTAGCCGACAAGAAGAAGGCCACCGCACAAGGCAAAGACAAAGACGAGCAGCAGCACCTCGCCTACGTCGAGCTCGAGAAGAAGAAGCCCAACCAGAAATGCGACGGCGGCAAGACGTGCGTCTGCGACAAGCCGGCGGCCGAGCACCCGGACGCGCCCTACGTGATCACACACGCCGGCTTCCGCAAGCTCATGAGCCAGCAGATCCATTGCCAGGTCCGCGACCCGGACAGCTTCCGCATGTACACGTACAACGACCACATGGCCTACGGCGTGCTGCAGGTGCTGCAGAACCTCGTCCTCGACTACGAGGAGGCGAAAGGGAACTGGCGGGAGCAGTGGGTTATCTGCGAGGCGCTGTGCCCGTTTGTTTGGTACCTGAATGGTGGTGACTTTGCCATGTAAGTTCAAGAGTCACGTTGTACTTCCTTCATTCCTCCTTGCTAGCACGTGGTACTGATACGATGAAATCCAGGGCCGACGACGGCGAGTTCGTCGACGAAACAGCAAAACTCATCGGCAACCTCTTCCTCACAACCCTCGCCCGCCTCGAGCGCGAGGGCGTCCTGACCGCGGACTCGGAAGTAAAAGACCTGGGCTGCGTCATGGCCGGCATGCTCAAAGTCGCCTCCGCCTTACGCGGCTTCGACGTCTTGCAAGACGAGACCGTCCACAAAAAGTCCAAGAAGCGTCCTTTCCCCTTTACGGCGGAGAAATTCGACAGCTACGTTGCAGCGTACGCCAAGAAGCACGGCATCACGCTCAAGGGCGTCCCGGGGCTGAAGGCTCTCATTGAGGGTCTCGATGACGAGGAGGAGGAGCTGCCTACGGCCGAGGAACACGGCGAGGACCCCTGGGGGTGGGCGGATGCGCTGGCGTCGTATAAGAAGGGGAGAAAGATTGGGGGTGATGATTTGGATATCACGTCGTGGACGCCTGCGCAGCGGAAGCAGCATGCTTTTAACAAGAAGGATCCGCTTGGGAAGAAGGAGATTGACGCTATCAAGAATGGTATGGTTATGATGCTGGGTTAAAAGCCGGAGTTTATGCCTCGTTGGATCGGGCAGTGCTCTGGGAATTGCTTTTGTGATTGTAGTCTTGAGAGATACCACCCTTGTATTATTAAATTGGAACTGCTGAGATCAAATCCGAAAGTTTGATTATTTGACGACAGTTCCCATTGACGCCGCTCTTTCTACGGGAGACTCGATCCAAACGTTCTGGCCACTATCGGTTGACAACAATCAACCGACCCTACCACAAGTATTTGAAGGAGAGTTCAGAAGATTAACTACACATAAGAACAAATCAGACAGGACTGGCCAGTCCAGCCTCACACGTCTTGGTATCCGTATAACAAGCCAAGAACAACTTGTCACTCGCCTCCCCGATCCAGATCTTATACCGCCCGGTAGGATTCGGCACAACCCAGTTCTGGCTGACCACATCCCACACGCTCAAATCCCGCCTCGTCAGCTGCAGCGTCACGGTAGCACTCTCCCCAGGCGCCAGGCTCTTCGTCTTGACAAAGTCGCGCAGCTGGATCACCGGCGTCTCGGGCCCGCCGCCGGGGAACTGCACGTACGCCTGCGCTGACGCTTTACCCGAATACTTACTGCCCGTGTTGGTCACTTTCACCGACACGGAAAAGACAACGTCAAAGAGAGCGGGGTTGCCGCCCTGCGCGCCGCCGGCTGGAGGGCCCGGTTTCTGCGCGGTGCTGTACCCCTCCGGGTAGGGATACGTCTCCGTCTTGGAGGCGGCGACGGCGTCCTTGGCCTCGGACTCGGTGCACCAGGAGTAGATATACCGGAAGATCTTGTTGAAGCCGGACGGCGCGACGCCCTCGGTCCAGTCGGGGATGGGCGCGGTGTACGTCAGGATCCCTTGCTTTGCGGGGCGGGCCGGCGGGGACGCGGTGAGCGCCGTCGCGGAGCTGATGGTCGCGCCGGTGTAGGAGAAGGCGGTGTAGCTCAGCCCATGACCAAAGGCGAAGCGCGGCTTGATACCGTTCTTGTTGAGGTAGCGGTAGTCGATGTACAGGCCCTCGGAATAGGTGTCCTGGGGCTGGCCGAGGGAGCCGCCGACGAGCTGGGTCACGGAGTCTGGGAGGTCGGATTCCTTCTTGGTCATGCTGTAGGGGAGGTGGCCGGAGGGGGAGGCCGCGCCAAAGACGATGTTGGCGAGGGACTCGCCTGCCTCCTGGCCGGGGAGGTGGGCAACCAGGACGGACTTGACGCTGGGAAGATCGATCCACGAGTCGACGACGATTGGTCCGACAGAGTGTATGACGACCACGACGTTTGAATACTTTGCGGCAGCGTCCTGGACCAACTTGTTGCCGTTGTGCCAGGCGTCGAGACCAGACGAACTGCGGTCGCCGTTGTTACCCTCTACGACATACTGATTCTCCCCAGAGTCCGAGGTGATGAAAACGAAAGCAACATCGTCTGCTGTTGGAGCCGGCACGGAAGGAAAGGAGTCGGTGTTGTAGAACGTCACGTTGCTGGCTCTCTTCTTAAACGCGGTGATGGGATCGTCGAGGTAGACGTAGTCAACCGTCCCCGAGCCCCAGCCGATGCCGAGCAGGCCCTTGTTGCAGGATCGATCGGCACAAGCGTTGGGGCCGTCTGGGTTCGTGATGGCATCGGTGCCAAAGACCTTGATCGAAGCCGACGTGGCAATGGGCAGAAGGCTGCCGTTGTTCTTGAGCAGGGTGATGGCCTCCTGCGCGACCTGCCTGGCGACGAGGTAGTGGTCCGCCTGCACCTGGACCATCTCGTTGACGACGCCGCTGGGGGAGAAGGGGAAGGCTCCCGGGTAGAGATCTCCCACCCTGTTGCGGGTTCCCGTGGCGAAGTTGAGCGCGGGGAAGCCCGAGTCTTGGCCCATCTGGTACCAGCTCGCCAGTACTCTGGTGGCCATGTCGTTGATGCGATCCACGGGAACGGATCCGTTCAGCACCGCCCTGGTGAGATCGTACATCCAGTAGCTGTAGCCCGTCAGGGGAACTTGCTGGTCGCCGGGGGCGTTGAAGTCCAGGCCCGCGAGGGCGCTGCCTACGCCGGACATGTGGGAAAGCCAGTCGCTCATGACGAAGCCTTGGAAGCCGAGCTCGTCTTTCAGAATGCCATTGATGAGATAGCTGTTCTGGCTGCATGCCGAGCCGTTGACCTGGTTTCCGTTAGTTCAAGTTTTAATGATGTGTACGGAATACTTGCCGCATTGTAGGCCGTCATCACGGATCCTACACCTGCGTGTACGCCATCTGCAAAGGGCCACAGGTAGAGTTCATGGAGTGTTCGGTCATCTGTCGTTGTTAGTCAAGAGACCAAGCACTGTTTCTCCCTCTGTCGGTAACCAACCAATGTTGGAGCTATAACCCTGCTGTAGAGGGTTATACATGCGATACATCTCCTGCTCGTTCCCGATGAGATGCTTGATCGTGGCGATGACGCCCTGCTCCTGGACGCCCTTGATCGTCAGAGCAGCAGCCTTGCCCTGCAGCGCAGGATCGGCCCCGAAGCCCTCCCAATTTCGGCCACCACGGGGCTTTCGACTGGCGTTACGGTTAGCTTGTTCTGGACGACATCATCAGGGGCAGAACATACCCTATGGGACCCACGGCTGGTCCTAGGTAAACGTTGGCGCCTTTGCCTCGGAATTCCTTGCCAATGGCAACACCGCGAGCGTACATCAGGTCCTTGTCAAAGGTGGCACCGGTCGTGATGCCGGACGGGAACACCGTCACGTTGTCGGCTTGACGGAGACCGGTTGCCGAATCCGCGAGGCATAGCTGGGGGAAACCGACGCGCAAAGCGCTGCCGGAGTTTCCAACGCAGCGGCTTGGTTATGGTTAGCAGGAGTTATACATGTTGTGATGATAAACGCACCCTGTGCATGTCAGTTACGAATTCCACGACATCACTCCACCAAGACTCACCCATGAAGATGCCGGTTCCGGACGTGATGTTGGTCTTTTCAGCCAACGTCATCTTATCAACCACAGCTTTCGCCCTCTTATAACTGTCTGTCCAGTCCGAGGCCCAGCCGCCGTACGGCGCCGGGTAGTAGGGCGCGGCGACATATCCGGCAGGCACATCGGATCTTACTGATATCACGGCGGCGTCGCAGGATGAGATGTGACTAGCGAGGAGGGCTACGACCAGGGACTTGACAGAGAATGTGTTTGCCATGGCGGCGGTCGAATGGTCTCGTTACCGCAAGGCTCTTATAGGCTAGACTCGAACCAATGATACAGGTCACGAGAGAGAGAGAGAGCTACGTCAACACGAGCGGACGAACAGGAGCTACAGAAACTGCGACATCGCGAGCACCGCCATTCACTTATATACTACGCACGGAATATCTAGGATACTGGCGGACCGGTAGCTCTCACTTGTCATTATGACTATACACTCCAATCACGGGCCCTTACAGTCCGCGTGGTATAGAAGGCAAGTGACAACAGACGATCCGCTTGGCAGCTCCGTGGACTCTACTGACCGCAGGGATATGCAGCCATACCTGACAGCTCATGATGCCCTGATAGCTACCAGAAGGGTCCAAGAGCATTAGAAAAAGGCAGATATTGCAACGTATCAAGGTTGTGGGATGCTCCCTTTGGGCAGCTGTGCTGGATTGTTCGGGCCTATGCTTGTCAGATATGAGCGTTAGAGTGGTCGATCGACATGTCGCGTAGACAAAGTATGGTTTGATACGACAGCGCCAGCGATAAGTCAGTGCAAGGCGGGGGAAATACCACCCTTTTCGAAATTCTGTGCTGTAGTCTTTTGGTACAAAGGATCGATTCGGTGTCGAACCGGATTAGCGGCCGAAACCGCCTCGCTTCGGGCGGGAGTTGGTAGGTGGGAACCTGGGACTTGGAGTTAAGCGACGGCATTCGCAAGTCCCCGGGGAACAGTGACAGTTCAGAGTCGGGCTTTCCAGCGAGGGCGTTGAGAGGAGCGGTGGGTATGACAAGATTAAGCCGTGAAGAAGACCCACGCTGGAGGCCCAAAGGGTCGACAAGACGGCGATGATGACCGTAAATGTCGACATGGCCGATCCAAGGTGGCATGCAAAATGGATGTGAAGATCTCCCTTGTTACGTGCAGGGTGGGCGCTTGGTGGGAATTTCTGGCGAGCTGTGAGCGGTCAGCAAACTGTAAAAGGGAAAAATACTGCTCGTCCGGGCTCGGCTCCGACGCGGGGAGAGCTGTCAGTCTGTCAGGTTGTGGCCGGGCGTTGCATTGCGCGCGTGGTTCACTGGCAGGCCACAGATGTCTATTTCCTTGAATAAGTGCATATGCAGCATCGCAAATGGGTGTGTACCATCGGAGTGGTGGTACAAGACGGACCTCGTGATACCCCAAGAGGTCTCTGCCTGGGGTCTGCCACGTCCACCAGATCGAGTCCAGGGCACTGCTGAAATTAGGAAACTCGCAAGCGAAGAGCACCAGGCGGTCGGAAATCCCAAACTCGGTCCAGCGGCGAAGATCGATGGGGCAGGGGTCAGGGGTGACGGAGCGCAGATTTCGGCTCTTGTTCTGCACGGAAAACGGGAATCGACCAAAAGGCAAGGTCGGTGGAAGCGGCACGGCATGAACGGCAATCTTGGGAAGAAAGAAGGTCAAATGTCGGTTCGAGAGATGGCGCAGTGATAGCTGAACGAGATGTGTGGTAGTGTCCGATATGTCGTAGCTGATGGCTGCAACGTCGACTGATCGTGAGGGGAAGGCATTGAGGATGTATTGGTCCAAGAGACCAGGTCCAAGAGACCAGATCCAAGAGACCAGGTCCAAGAGACCAGGTCCAAGAGACCAAGTGATGGAGGGCGAGGAAGAGGTCTCGTGGGCGCGGACTCCGGATGACAACCCTTCTTTCTAGAATGTCTCAACCCCGCGTTGCTAGGTCGACATCTGATCATCAGGTACGGGTGGCTCGCTGGGAAGAAGGGACGAATCGACGATGGACCGTTGACCGTTGGCCGTTGATCGTTAGAACTGGGAGGGTGTGGGGAGGTGGATGAAGGAGGGAGAGTCTGCTGTAGTGTAGGCACTAAGGTAGACAGACGTACAGAGAAGCTGGCAAGGACGGCATCACGGCATGCATGAATGAAGCTGCCACACACCTATCGTGTAGAGTCTAGAGACAAGAAGGAAGCTGCGAGATTCAGCTCCGAAGCTCCCAAGCTCCCAAGAGGCGGCAGGAAGCAGCATGACATAACGCTGCCGCCGACCCCAAGTCTCCAAGCCTTTTCATCCCACCTCCATCTCACTCTACCGTAATCTAGTGGCTTTGGTGTTGCATCTGCCATCCATCTCAGCTGCATCTTCCCGTCTTTAATCACATCCACATGCTTTTTCTTTGCAAATACTCTTGCCAATAGTCTGTAGGCGTACCTTAATGCCGACAACTATGGGCGTGATGGAACTTGTTCTGCCTGACCGACCTCCATACTCGATTGGGAGGAACGAACCGTGGTACGAGAGCATTCGTCCGCGTGATGCCTTGAGAGCGGCTCTCCAGCGTAGAGGGCCGCGTATCACCACACGAGAATCCCGATTTGGTTTTACGTATCTTGGTCTTGGCTTTTGACTTGACTTACGACACTAATCGGAAAATTCAAACTCGCACAAGACCACATTGGCAGCATTTTGTTGAGCTCTTGCGGGCCTCGTCCAGGGACTCGCCCGGGGGCCGGCGGGCTTCTTCCAGCAATCGGCCGACCGCAATTGACCACCAGTTCGTTCGAACAAGGACCATTCGGCCAGCTTCATTAACAACTTGTTCCCGGTGCGGACGCTATTGTTTCGACAGAGCCCAACAGAAGTGGGAATTGCCCAGCTTCACCCCGGCTCGGCGCCGTCCAGGGACCATCCACTCAGTCGTCGTTGTTCAATGAGCGGCAAGCCCACTATGGGGATGCTTGGCTCACGTGGCGCCAAATGACACCCCAGGATCGCAGAGTTATTGAGCAGAAACTCTCATTGCTTGTCTCTCAGTCTCTGTCTTTGCACTACGGACACCCAAGGATCGAGATGTCTTTGTCTGACCGCACGGGCGCTTCCTTACCACCTTGACGGTCCATCAACCTCATCACACCCACTGTTCCTCATGGTTGGACTGATTCAAGACCAATATCACTCGAGGCTTGCTACTAATCACTCCGAACCGCTGACCTGCCACCAATACTTGGCTATAGCGGCCAGGGCCAGGTCTTGTCCTCTTGTCTGTCTGACGAGGCCACCCAATGGTCAAAGCTGTCTATCTCGCACTGCCGCCCCCCCGGTAGGACCTCTTGAGCTTGGCCCCCTGCTAGATGGAGTATGGAACCGCCTTCTCCAAGAACGCATCTCTTCCATTCGCAACTGGCGCTTCTAGTGCCGATTTCCGCCGCTCTGTGCCTGGCGAGATTGCTCTAACTTGCGGAGGAACTGCCAGAAACCGCAAAGTCTTGCGTATTGTTTGCTTTAGCGTGAGAAGTCTCACCCTGGCTCGCATATCCCCAATATCGAGGGGAGTTGGTTTGCTACCGGCCCCCAACCTCGCCCGAGCCATGAATGCTTGACTTGGAGGCATGGTGGGCACTCACCGCAACCCTTACAACGGACCGTTGTCTGGGGTGTACGACTCGATGTCGATCCACTGGCCTCTTTACCCCGGTGCTCCGTTCGTTGCTCTCTTGGTTATGTATAAGACGTTGCGGCAGCGTGGAGGACGATTGCTTGCCATGTCTCTCTGTTCGTTGTGCCTCACGAGAAAGTCCTCGAGTTCCGTCCCTGTTCCTGTTGTCTTGAGTTGCTTCCTCTACCGTCATCATGTTGGCCAAGCTGTCTCTTCTCCCTTTGCTGTCTGCCGCAGTCTCGGCATCTCCCCTCCTCGATGTCAGAGCCCCGGTGGCTGCTCTCGATGAGAGAGCCGTGACGGTGTCGAGCGCCGACCTGTCCAACTTTGAGTACTACGTTCAGGTAGGACATTGCCCAGACTTCTGACTTGGCCGCGTGCGCTAACATGTTACATAGATGGTGGCAGCAACCTCTTGCAACAGCGAGGCCGCCGCTGGTGCATCAATCACCTGCAGCGCCGATGCTTGCCCTGATGTCACCGCCAACGGAGGAAAGATTGTGGGAACCTTTTCGTAAGTTGACCAGATACTCTTGGCTTTTCACCTTTGACCTGAAGGTAACTAACATGCTTCAGCGGTCTTGTCTCTGGCCTCCAAGGCTTTGTCGCCACGGATCCCGTGAGAAAGAACATTGTCATTGCCATCCGCGGCTCCAGCAACGTCCGCAACTGGATCACCAACATCCTATTCGGCTTCGACGACTGCGACTTTGTCGACGGCTGCAAGGTCCACACCGGCTTCGCAAACGGCTGGGACGAGATCAAGGACGCCCTTCTGGCCTCCGTCAAGTCCGCAAAGGCCGCCAACCCCAGCTACACCATCGTCGGCACCGGCCACTCCCTCGGCGGCGCCGTCGTGACCATCGCCGCCGCCGACCTCCGACGCGACGGTTACCCCGTCGACATCTACACCTACGGCAGCCCCCGTGTAGGCAACGCCGCCTTCACCAACTTCGTCACCGCCCAGGCCGGCGCCGAGTACCGCGTCACCCACGTCGACGACCCCGTCCCCCGCCTGCCCCCCATCCTCTTCGGCTACCGCCACACTAGCCCCGAGTACTGGTTGTCCACCGGCAACGCCACCACCGTCGACTACGCCGTCGCCGACATCAAGGTCTGCGAGGGCGCCGCCAACACAAAGTGCAACGGCGGCACCTTTGGCCTCGACGTCGACGCCCACCTGTACTACCTCCGCCGTACGGGCGCCTGCAGCACCGACGGCTTCGGCATCAAGGAGAGAGAGGAGGACATCTCGGACGAGGACCTCGCTGCGCGCCTGACGGCCTGGGCCCAGCAGGATATCGAGTACGTCGCGTCACTTGAGGAGTAAGGAGGACGACGGCATGCCGTATACACGAAAGAAAATTAAATGTCATGACCATGTTATGAAGGGCAGGGAAGCGGGCTTCTGGAGTTTTAGGGGAAGCATCATCATCATCATAATCATCAAAAAGGATACCATCAAGGGATATCCCCAAGCCATTGCGGCCAAAGGAGATATCGTCAAGACTATTCACGTACATAATTAGTATAGTACATAATCCACGCCCAGCGTCAACCTGGGCGTTGAACCACACCACTTCTTTCCTCTGAACAAGCTGTGAAATCAATGACCCTATCTGTGACGGTCAAAAGAGCCGTACCAGCACCGTCAGCACGATTCCACGAGTGGGACGCACCCCGGACGGGTACCGAGCCCGGACACACATAAACCCCCCCATGTCATCGACTGACTCGCAAGTCCCGTCAACTAAAAGACCGCGCGGTACCCGATCGAGCAAAGTTCGTATCCCATATTCCCAAACCGCGTGTTTTCCTTTGTTTCAGTCCCAGCCGTACTTAGAATGGCACTGGCGCGTTGGAACGGAACGGTTGTGTTACGTGTATATTGGCCGCTTGGCATCGCGAGCTATGGTACAGGATAGACTTTCCCAGAACGAACCATTCCACTCACCTGAAGCCTGTGGGGATTGAATAACCATTGGGAGTATCTTTCCGGGATTTCCAATACTCCGTACCCTGGTACATAAGGCCCCTACATAACCCAGCGCCCACGTGCGGAGTTTGCGGATCGTGGGCCCATGGGTGCTGACATTGCTGACCGGCCAGTTGATTATACGGCACTATATGGCTCCTCATAGTCACTAGCATTGCGATCAAGATTTGCTGATACCTAATTTCTGAATCTATTGTCCAGATGGAGAAACAAAGAACCACCCAGCTGAACGCTGAGAGTATCTACCTAAAGCAATGGGCCACACCCATACACACAAGGTGTTCCATCCGTGAACCACGCCATATTTGCAAATCGAAAAGGGGTATAGGAAGAAGAGAACGACGCACGCCCGACTCCGATGATGGGGGCTGGGTACTACAGTCCCAATGTCCTTGTCCTTTCCGTCTGCCCTGCCTTGTCCTCAACGCCGCCCTGGGGGAAATCACAGAAATCCACTTTTTGCTGGAAAACACAATGATGAAAGAAAGTTTGCAGACGAGCTAAAAGTCTAAGAACCACGGAACAGGAATTGCATATCCTCGGGGCTCAGAGACTCCATGGCCTTGTCGTCCGCGTTGACGGTGGAGTTGATCATGTTGGTCTTCTTCTCCTGAATCAGCACCATGCGGCTCTCGACCGAGTCCTCGATGCAGAGACGGGTAATGGTGCAGGGGCGGGTTTGACCAATGCGGTGGCAACGATCGGCAGACTGCCACTCGGCGGCAGGGTTCCACCAACTGCATGTCATGTTAGCTGGGAACTTGATAGTGAGTATTGAGACATGTAACTTACGGGTCAACGATGAAGACGCGAGACGCCTCGGTGAGGTTGAGCGCGACTCCACCGGCCTTGAGAGAGACGAGGAAGCACTCGCACTCCGTCTTGGTCATGAAGTGGTCGATGGACGCCTGGCGCTGCGCGGGGCTCATGCTGCCGTCAAGCATGACGGTGGTGATACCGGCGCGACGAAGACGCCACTCGATGAGCTGCAGCATGGATGAGAACTGTGAAAAGATAATGGACTTGTGCGAAGCATTGTCTGATCGAAGCTTGTGAAGCTCGTGGACGAGAAGCTCAATCTTGGAGGAAGAAGTCCATTCTTCCATCTTGATTCGATTGATAATCGAAGACTTCTTGACATCAGCCTCATTCTGCTCAATCTCGGGCTGCTCCAAGTCGATGGCCAGCGCAATGTGGCAGCGGGGGCAGTCAGGCTCAGCAGAAGACAACAGGTAGCTTCTAGCACACGCGCGGCAAAAGTCGTGCTTGCAGCGGCTCCTGATGGCATCCTCGGCCGGCTCATC